TTGTTTCTACTAGAGCTCAGTTTTATCCTATAGCTGCTTTTTAAATGGTTTGGCTACAGAAGGCATGGCCTTACTCAAACATCCAAGGAGCTTACATTTTGATTCTCCTTTTGGGACCTGCCAGAGAGTCCACATAGCATCTAGCATATTTATTAACTAGCTCCTTTGGATCTGCCATGTCATTATGGCCCAAATGGCAAGACAGCTTGTGGCAAAGCCCAGACTTGATGTTAAGCTCTCTCTGCTCCTAACTTTACACAAAAATGGCAGCCTCTGAAGTAACCTGATAACTAAGTTAGAGCAGTATTTCCAAGTGTGGAACAGGTTACCTGCAGAATACAAAGTGCATCAAATACTGTTTCTCTTTCTTAGTGAAAGAAGAAAAACATAGAAACTTTTCCTTTACAGCTCAGATAAGGTGACCAGATGTCCCGCATTTGGCGGGACAGTCCCAATTTTTAACAATTTGTCCTGTGCTCTGTGGCATTTTTTAAAAGTCCCGATTTTTAGAAAGAATGCAAGACAAGCTAGGGAACAGGGGGAGAATGGGAAGGGAATATACGATTTTTCGGCTGCTGAAAAGGTTACTGTAACTCCTTTTGGGAATGAAGAGGTTGTAACTTCATTTGGAAATGAAAAGGCTAATGTAAACTCCCTACTCCCCTCCTGGGCAAGGTCACCCAGGTGGAACCGGTACCAGAAGGAGACTGGCTCCCTCCCTTGCTTCTAGGCAAGGACAATTAGCTCAGAAGGAGCCAAACTGTCTGGAACAAACAAGTAGCCCCCCCACTCTCAGAGTAAGGTGACCAGACGTTCCGCTTTTGGTGGGACAGTCCCAATTTTTAACAATTTGCCCTGCATCCTGCAGCGTTTTAAAAAAGCCCCGATTTTTGGAAAGAATGCATGACAAGCTAGGGAGAACAGGAAGGGGATACAGTTTTCAGCTGCCATGTGGCTATTTCGCCAGGATATGAGTTTTATATTATTTTTGTTAATTTTATAATGTTAAACTTTAATAATAACAAATAATTGTTGAGAACTGATTATCCAGAACTGCTTATCAAAGTTTGCATTGTTGTCAGGCTCCCCTTCCCCCTCAATGGTGTCCTGCTTTACCAATGTTAAAATCTGGTCACCTTAAGCTCAGATCACCAGACTTCTAGAAACATAATCAACATGTGGGCCCCTCAAAGTCCTTTTCAACTATGAGAGAGCAGGAAAGTCAACTGCCCTGAGAATGTTCATAGAAAAGTATTCACAGCCTTGAGTTAATGTAAACTCAGTCTTCTCAAGTGAATGCAAATTGCTTGTGATCTTCTTTCCTCATAGAGATTGATCAAACACATTTGTCAGAACAAAATCACATATCAAGTGCTAGGAGCTGTATTGACTGGTCCAATGATTGAGGATACCATTTGATTAAGTTTATAGTAATCCACTATCACTTACCATGGTACAACTGGCTTTGAGGAGAACATATTGGTAAAATGAACTCCTGAGAAACCATTAAGTCTTTTACTTGCCACAATTCCACTGGAATCGGGTATTGCTTCTGATTTACTATTTTTGCCAAGGAGTGGGTAGAGGGATGCAGTTTCAGAGATTTTCACTTGGCCTTTCCTACCCAAATTGTTCATACTTCATAGGGCAGAGGACCAACACGAAGGTTCTACCAGCTGGTAAATATATCTATCTCAATTATGCACATGGCCAAGTGGGGAATGACTGTAAGTTTATGGACACATTAGAGCCACTGTGAAACAGATTAGAGAAATGACTCTATCTCCCCACATGCCCCATTCTAACAGGGGGTTATGGTGCAATTTTGATTATCTGGCACCAATGTAGTTATGCTGCATCTAAAAGCCCTTGAAAGAGTTGAGTATTCCCCATTTCTCCATTGTACGGTTACTCTCAAAAATGAATAGATTCCCTTGGGGAAAGTATGGGTAAATATTGTATATACTTGTGGTACTGCAGGGGACTTCCTCAAAGGGATCCAGATTCTTTTTAATTGATGACCGCTGGGTTTCTGAACTAGCTGGTTTTCTTTCTGGAAAGATATCATCCTTTCCTGTTTTGGCAGTTGATATGTGCCTTCTGCTCACCAGCCTCATTGTTTGTCTTTGTCGTCATTATATAACTCAATCAATACCCTCACTCATTTCCTATTGGAAATCTTGTCCCTAAGAATACCATAGTCTGTGAAGCATGACGGATATCCTGCATTTCAAGGATCTCTGGTAATTTTATTCATTTTCTTTTTTGATATGAAAGTGGAAGCAGCTAGAAGAAGGAAGGGGCTGGGACTCAGCACAAAAGAAGACTGATTCTATGATTAGATCTAGAACAGTTAAGAAAGTGAACTCACAGGGGAAGGGTAGTAGGTCTATCTGGCAGCTTTGTGTAGCTTTTGAAATGTAGGATCATGCATTGGAATTCTTAGTGAGTTCTTGACAAATGGTACCTAAATTAACTCCCATTACTGAAAATTTCTTTTTGGCATACGTGGATGGACTTTTTCCCTTATCTTTAAATATATATATAAATATATTTCAAAAATATATGTAACATACCTGTAAATAATAAAGCATAATTTAATGTGTTACCTATGAATTCTACCTTACCCTAGAATTGGATTTTGTCAATAATTTACATTTGCCTTTGTTCTCCTTCCTAATCCCATCCTCTTGACCACCCTCCTCCCCCACCAACCCATATCCTAAATTTTGTGCCTATCATTATCTTACCTTAAATTATAATTTTAAAATATGTATACTAGACAATTCTTTTTTCTAGTTGTTTTTGTATTTGAGTTTTATAAAAGTGGAATTGGCTTTTTAAAAGTCAGCATTATGTACATGTGAGTCTTTCTAAATTTAGAATATAAATGTCTTAACACAGTAACTAAGAAAATGACATGAAGGCTATGTTAACCAGTTGGATGAAAGTATTTCAAACTGTATATAGAAACAACACACTGTACCCCATGATAGTATTAATGTACACAGCTATGATTTAATAAAAATAAATAAAAATAAATAAAAGTCAGCATTATGGTTCCAAGATACATCTATGTTGTTATGTGAGTTAATTCATTTGTTCTGCATGTGATGACAGTATAATTTAGTTATCCATTTTGGTATGTAAGCACATTTGGGTTATTTCCAGGTTTTTGCTATCATTATTATCTGTTGCATATATGTCCTAGGAAATTGTAAAAGAATATTCACAGAAGCACTGGTATATCATAGAAGCTATACCAGCTATTGTTATCTTTGGTTGAATCAATCAATACATCCTCTACAGAGCTTCTGTGAATATTCTTTTACCATTTCCTCGGACACATATGCAACAGTTTCCCCAACATATATATTTAGAAGTGGAATTACTGGTCATAAGGTGTGTAGATGCTTTTCCAAGTAGTTATACCAATTTATGCTTAGACTTCAGCATGTAAGAATTCTACTGATGTACATACTCTCCATAACTTAAGCATTGCCAGACTTCTTATTTTTGTGATTTCCTGCATGAAAAACAGTACCTCATTGTAGGGTTTCTTATATTTTGCACATTAAACAGACTGATCATCTTTTCATGTATACTGGCATTGCACTTTCTCTTCCACACTAGTATTTCTTCTCTAGAATTCCTTTTCAATAATTTATTAACCATCAAAATCTCCTGTTATCCATGCTTCCTCACAAAAGACATTACTTTTGATCATTACAGGCTATTTTACATTTGTTAACTTTATACCTACTATCTTTCTTTTTCAGGCATTAATAATGTACTGATATAGCACATTTATAGTACATTTATAACCCACCTTTTAATTAGGTGAGCGTTGGTTAATTGTCCATATATGGCCAATCCTGTCATCATCAGATTAAGGTTCCCTGTCTTGTCATTTCTATTAGAAGTCTAGACAATTATTCCTATAAGTTCTATCTTCCCTAATCTAGCTGGTGACATTTGGAAAGCAGAATCATATTCATTTTTTTTTTCATTTTTGAAATGGGGTCTCCTCTGTTGCCCTGTCTGGGGTGCAGTGGCACCACTATAACAGCACTACAGCGCCAAATCCTGGGCTCAAGCAATCCTCCCACCTCAGCCCCACACCTTGGAACTACAGGCGCGCACCTCCGCGCCTAGGTCTACGCATTTTTAAACCACTGTTCTATGCACAGTTCCAAGCACGCTGCGAACTTCTGATGTATTTTGTACAATTTCTACAACTGTGTTCGAATACGATTCTGAAAAGTACCGTCCACTCTCACTTTATAGCTGGCCAGGGCGGAGTGGGGGCGGGGAGAGAGGAAAGTTCCTAGTCCACTCCTGCTACTTGACATACAGAAAGAGACAAGAGGCACTGTAAGTCTCTCACCTATAGTTAGGAAGCAACGGACTCCCTCCTTTCTTCCTATCACAAATTGGGTTAGGGAAGAGAGAATACAACGCAGAAAAGATGGGAGAAGCAACTCTCAAGTCTTCTGGCCACTTGCGCCTTAGGCGACCCCTTCTAAGTCCATCACATTTTCTTTGCTCATATTGCAGAAAAGGACCAGAACCCCCATCTACAACAAAGGCCCCATGAACTCTTGTGCACATTTTCTAAGAGCAAACTATACAATCGCAGAAACACTCGAACCCTGACGTCCAAGCGAAAACACATCCACGTGTTGGGGCTTCTCCCGCGGCTCAAGTGCTTTGAAACTGAACAGAGAAAAAGTGTCTTCGAATAGGTCTTTCACACTTTCGGCACAATCTTATCAGCAAAAAAAAAAAGAAAACAAGTATTTTTGAAGAAAGTTATCAAAAAAGTGATAACTTCTTTCTTTTTTATGTGTCTTCGCCTTTGGAGAGATTTATTTTGCATTTCTAGACTGATGCTGCCCGTCGGTTCCTCTGTCGAAACTGCGACAAGTCGGAAGCGGCTGCCGGGGAGGCGGGGCGGAAGCGTGACGTCATCGCCGCGGGGCGGAGGCGACGGCTACCACACTAGGTGCGGCGTGCTGCATAGTTGTTGACCGGGCTCTGGGGAAACGTGATTACTTGCAGTCTCCGCCTGCCACAGGTGGCCTGCCCACGTCGAGTCCTGCGCGGAGATGGCAGACGATCTGGGAGACGAGTGGTGGGAGAACCAGCCGGTTGGAGCAGCCAGCAGCCCAGGTACCCTCTCTCGCCCGCAATCCTGCGGGGCCTCTGCCCCACCTTTCCCTGGCCTCAGCCAGCCAATTGCTGGCGGTTACGGTGTTACCCGCGGTGGGGCCGCGCGCGGCTGTAAGAGCGCCCGAACTTCGTGGGAGAAATAGTGAGAGATTTTTTTAACACGTGAAACAGGCAAGTGTGACATTAACTCAGATCTGCCTGCCAGTAGGCAGGAAAGACCCTTTTCCAAGCTGCTTTTCTTTTCCTATTCCTGGAGAATAGGTAGGAAAATGTAACAGTTTTTGTGAAGAGACACAATTTTGCTTGGTGGTTCAGACTGGTTCAGTTCAAATAGCGGCTCCAGCACTCTGATAGTGTTTTCACCTCCCCTCCTTTTCCTTACCTGTGAAATAAGGACAACAGTGGCTGTTTCATAAATTGATTGTGAAGATTAAATGAAGATTATGCAATGATGCACTTTAGCACAGTGTTTGGCATGTATCATATGCTCAGTAAATGTATGTTACTGTATTTCTTGCCATCATATTATGTAGTTTGGAGTATTAGAGTTGAAAGGGGGGCTTATATAGAAGTCATTTTACAGATGAAGAACATAACCTAAAGATGCCAAGTAACTTGATTTTTATTTTTTTTTAAATCACTCTTCAAGTTCTGCCTCTCTTCTCTACCAGATTCTATGATTTTTGAGGGCAGGGACAAAGTCAGATTCACATTTATGAATTATGTCAACCACAGGGCCCTGCACTTCATAAACACTTGATACATAATTTGCTGCAAACACTTGACATATTAGTTGTGAAACATCCATTAAAAATAATAAACTTTAATTTTTGTGTTTTGTGTAGAAGGGCAGCCTTTAGGTACAAACTTAGCAGATGCCATTTTTTAAAAGGTGACCAGTATAATACTTCCTTGATCAACTTCCTTCATGCAGCCTTGCTTCTCCCAAATGTATTTCTATGCCTGAAAGCACAAATATATTTCTTTGCAGCCCTGCGGTGGTCCACATTTACTTTAATAACCCGTTCCCCCAAATCAGGTAATAAAAACTATGACTTAAGATATGATTCAACAATAAAGACCATTTAAGAAATTGAATTCTGCCGGTAAACAATCAAATTCACGCCCACGTAGAAGTAAAACTGGTGGCTCATGCCTGTAATCCTAGCACTCTAGGAGACGCAAGCAAGTGGATTGACTGAGCTTACAGGTTCAAGACCAGCCTGAGCAGGAGCGAGACTGCGTCTCTAAAAATAGCTGGATGTTGTGTGGGGGAGCTATAGTCCCAGTTATTCTGGAGGCTGAGGGAAGAGCATGGCCCAAGAATTTGAGGTTGCTGTGTGCTATGCCACCATGCCACAGCACTCTACGGAGGGCAACAAAGTGAGACTCTGTCTCAAAAAAAAAAAAAGAAAAAAAAGAAAAGAAGAAGAAGTAAAATTCAATTCAATTCGGGGGAAGGAGAGAGAGAGGAGGAGGGGGGATTGGTGTGCTCCCGCTCGGTGGGCACCACATAGGGGTGTATGGCACAGCTTTTGGGTGTGGGACACAATTACAAGATGGACTCTGCCTAACATTCAAATATTGTGACCTGGTCATATACCCTCACATTAATCTGAAATTTAAAAAAAAAAATTGAATTCCTTTTGCACGGTAAAGGGGAACCCAGTTCTTGGTTTAGTCTTGCCTCTGTCCCTCATCAGCTGTGTTACTCTAAAGTAAATCACCCCTTGGAAGATAAAAAATGAACATGTATTGAGTATTCAGTGCCATATCTTTTCTTAAACACAAATTCATTTAATCTTCATAACATCCTCAAATGGTGTTACCTTTGTTTTTATAGATGAAGAAACTGAGAAAAGTAACGTTCTAAGGAACACACATTGAAGAGGTCTGGGAAGAATTTAGTCAAGTGATTGATTTTCAGAACCTTACTTTTTGCACTAGTATTATGTGGCTTCTCTGGGCATCAGTTTTGTACATTTTGAGAAATCGAAAATGAGAAATCCTTAGAGATCATCATTTTTAGGTACAGTTTTAAACATTTAGTAGAACTTTAAATTGCTATAGCCACCTTCAGCTAAGTTGCCAGAATTCTATGAAGACAATGTGTTGGAGTCCCCAGGATCACCCCATTTCTTAAACTTCCTTCTAGCTATAAGACTAGACTTTGAAAATTGCTGGCATTAAGTGTGTCAGAGGCCTTTGCTTTGTTAATACTTTTAAGCAAATATAACATGTACCATTAACGTTTCCTTCATATTTGTTTGATTGTTTACTGGCAGTTTGCCTAACTGCAGTGTGTATAGCATTGCTAATTTAGAAGAAATCATAGCTAAACCGGTTTAGATTTTCTGATTCTTTCTATGTTAATATGGAAAAGATTTGATAAATATGTGAATTACATTTTGTTTTGAAGATCAAAGTAGAAAAGCACCTTAAGTCAGAGAAAGGAAAGGAAGTTGGAATGATGCTTTTATTTGTTATGGATTGTGCTACTTGCCTGTAAAGATAAACATCTTTTCCCATCACCTGTTCCCAGGTCACTTTCATGGTAGCAAGTTGATGGAACATTTTAGTCACTTATTGAACAAAAATTTGTTGGTTGTACACAGTTTGTAACACCTGTCTAATGTGTCTAGCTATCCGCTTATTGTCTGAATGTCTGAGAAACTATATTGTGTCTTGACTGTTCTCATGTCTTAGATGTGCTATATAACTCAAGATTTTTTTTTTTTTTTTTTTTTTTGGTCTCTCTAAAACTTACCATTTTTGTACTGGAGTCATGCATTGCACTGGAGCTCAACATGGGAATAAGAGCTGGCACTTGGGGTTCGGTAGATGTTAGTGGAATGAATGCATGTCCTATGTATGATAACTGCTACAGAGTCTTGGTGATCAAATATGTAGGCAGACATATAATTTCTCATCTAATCTAGATATTTTTGAGAATGGAAGGCCATGAAGTTAGAGTTTTATAGCACTACCTTGGTCCCCCTAGGATGTCTGGTGAATGGAGTCATGGCCCAGATAAGACAGCTAGGAGTCCCAATGCTAAGGGATGCATAAGAGCCCGGGAATCATCTGATGACATCTAATATTTTGTTTCACTTATTTCCTTATTCTCTGTGTGCCTTAGGAAAGCATTTTCTTGACTTACAGTAAGCAGTACATGCAGTAGAACCGTGATTTCAAAGCATTAAGGCCTAAGTGAGCAAATACAGTGCCTGAGATTTCAATGTAGTTGACTGGTCTGGCTACTTCTCAGAGCAAAGCTGAGAGCTGAGAGAGTGTCAGTCACAGCATGGATTTCATGATCTGTGGAGCACAGCCCAGAAATTCTGCAAGTTGAAAGTGGTCACTTGATCATTCACTCAGTGAAGGGAACATCAGTTTCTTTCCCTTTTTATTCCAATGATGTACTTATTAAATTGCCCAGTCAAGTATCCAGTGGGCGGCTGAGTGTGTGAGTCTGGAACTCCAGGGTCAGGTCTAGACTGGAGATACAGATTTAGGAAAAACTGGCAGACAGCTTACTTTTAAAAAGGATATTCTCTTAGTAGTTTACAATTCTTAGCCCCTACGTCTTTTGAGGAGGATTTTTCATGGGATTCCTTAACTCATTCTGATTCTTTGATATCATCTTTACCAAGCATCTAACTAGAAAACTAAAGTGTTAAGACACTTCTGTGCGCAGCGTCAGGAGACTACAAGTAATAATGCCAGCTTGCATTTGTTGAATATTTATTATGTGCCAGAGACCGTTTTGTTTGTTTTATTTGTACTAGCTCATTTAATCTTTACAAGTTTGTATAGATGAGGAAATTATGGCATTGAGTGGTTAAGTGATTTGTTCATTGTTACTTAGATGGTAAGTGGGGAGCTGCGATTCATCTGCAAGCAGTCTGAAACCAGAGTCTGCACTTACATTTACTATAAGTACACAGGCTGTTCTGTGCACACAACTATTTGTATTATCAGCAGTAAGAATCTCACCCCCTCAAAAAAATCCTTTATTGATTGAAGAGACTTAGAATTTATTAATTCTTTTGTTTCTGTATTATCATTGTTATGAGATTGTGTCTGGGTTTTGTTTCTTTGTTTGTTTTTCTTACAACACAGTGAGGTCTCTCAAATTTTGTCAGTTAACCCTTACTCTCCCAAAGTTTGCTTATTGGTAGCTCTGAGTAACCTGGTTTGTCCTTGGGCTTTGCCAGTAACTCAGATTTGATCCTGGTGCTCAAGGTTCATATGCCTGAAATCATTACTTATTTATTTAATAGGAATGCCAAATGTAAACAAGACTCAGCAATTGAATTATTCCTCAAATCTACTTTTCCTTTAGACTTTCCTATCTTAGTAAATTAAAGGACCAGTTACTCAATTTCACTGATAGAGGCCTATTAGTATCCTGATTGATTTATTTCCTTTGTGCCTTGGGTCTCATCTATCAAGTCTGTTGTCTCTACTTCCGAAACATCCTGAATCTTTTTTGTATTTTTCTCATGGAACTATACACTGTTTTCCTTGTTTGTTGCCACCCATGCAGTAAGCTTCCTTAGGGCCCTAGGTTTCTATCTTGTCTCTTACTCAGCAGCCAGAATGATCCTTTTTCAAAGAGAATTCAGATCACATTCCTGCTAACACCCTCCAGTAGCTTTCCCTTGGTATATGGAATGAAATTCATATTACTTACTGTGGCTGGTAGTTGCCACATCTTCTGCTACTTACGCCCTTTTAGTTTACATACCACCATACCACCAGCCATACTACCCGTCATTCTGTTCCCTGAGAGGCTAAGCTTATTCTGTCTTAGCCCTTTGCAATAGCTATTTCTTTTCCCTTCTGTGCTTTCCTTCTAATTTTCATATGGCTGACTTCTTAACATTAAGAACTCAGTTCAAACATCTCCTACTTTGAGAGGCATTTCCTGGTCAACCAGTCTAGAGTAGCCACACAATGTTCTGTATGACATTGTCACCTTATTTTAATTCTCAGCA